TAATTCAAAATATTATTTTATTTTTGGTAGATTAATAAAATAAAAGTTACATTTAAAACATGTTTCCATTATTTTGTATATAAAACTATACAATTGATAGTAACTAAAGCACTTTGTACATGTAGTCGTAATTTATAAACTAATTAAAATACATTTACATATGCGATTATTTAAATAAAATATGATCGAATTTCGTGGTATAATAAAAATGGAAAATAATGAAAATTCTTTCTAAAGCAAAACGAGAGTTATTTATAATACTTTTTGTTTTTTTGTTATTGTTAGGATTTACTACAAAATGTAATATTATTTTAATATTTCACGTACTAATGAGATATGAAATTAAAGTTAAAAGCGAAAAAAGATTCGGAAATGTAGGAATCCTAACGGAGAATACCTGAATGTGAGTTATTAGCATAGGAGAGTATCGATTATAGTTTGGAATGGTCTTCTTCTTTGCCCGACAATTTTATTTCCAGTGAATTCATATCGTATAACACTGTAAGGTCTTTGTGTAGACTTTCAAAAACTTGAGCAACACGAGGTTGCAAATTGAAGAAATAAAGTTTTTGCTGGCGATCTTCAAAATCACCAATCATGGTGGATACAACTTTGGCAGCCGTATAATCAGCCCCGTATATATGCGTACAATCAATGACCACGGGTAACGTAGATTTACGGCCTTGTTTAGTAATCACGTTACGTACAAACTCAACGGAAGGAAAGATGAGGCAACGATCGGGCGTAAGCATTAAGTATTTAATATCATTCGAAGTCTGAAAAAGAAAAGTAATTTTAAGATTATTTACAGTCTTTCGTTCTCTCTACATCCAGGATATATTACTTACGGATAAAGTCTCTACGCGCAATCTAGGACGGGCGGCATGATAGAGTATAAATAAAATATTAATACCAATGCCGACTAAGATGCCCAATTGCAGAGGTAAAACCAGACATGCCACAAATGTAGCTAAGCCAGGTATTAGATCCGATTCTATAAGAAAATGGATTAAAACAATTTTTTTAAAAACATATATTACAAAATTTTCACTTACTTTTACTTCTCCACATGGGCTTTATTACACGGTACTGTATCATGAAAATAACGGCAGCCATAATGATTGCTGCTAGTGTTGCTTTGGGTATATAATAAAATGTTGGAGTCAAATATAGTAACGCGACTATAACAATGATGCCTGTATATAAATTCGAGAGCTGAGTGCGTACACCGCTCGAATTGAGAACAGCACCCCGAGCAATGCCACCGTTGCCACGAAAACCTTGAGCAAACGAATTGACTACGTTGCAAACGCCCACCGCTATCAATTCTTGAGTGGCATCACATGGCTTGCCATTAGCTGCAAAAAATTATCGATAAGAGTTGATTGATATGAGAAACAGAACAGTTATTATTTTTATATAATCGTAAAGCTTACCGAAAGTCTGTACCACGGCCATATTTTCTAATAACGATATCAAAGGGACTACTATTAAGCCGGAACCCAAGCTGCTAACCATGTGCGTAAAACTTTCATGCACTTCCGTTACCTCACCGCTTGTGCTATTTGTTATAGTTGTCATTGTGAAAGGTGGCAATTGGAATTGTGGTAATCCTTTGGGCACATAACCCACCATACGAAATATATCTATATCGGCTTGCAGTAAATAATAGCCGACAATTGCCGACACTACTACCAATACAGCATTACGCGAAGTTCCAATTAGCCAGAATAAAGTCGAAAAAAATTTCTGCCAGCATGTTTTACCTTCCTTAGGGCCGAAACTCATGCCAGCCATAGCTCGCATTGTTAATAATACGACAATACAACAAACGCCCAAGCCAGCATCGTTCCAGCTAATATTGTGTATATCGCCGAATATGGAAAACCACATATCAACAAACGTATCGCCGTTTGTATTCACGCCCAGTAGATCTTTCAGTTGCGAAGTAAATATAATCAGTGAACCAGCACTTGTAAATCCCGCACTAACCGGTCCCGAAACGAAATCAATTAGAAAACCTAAGCGAAATATGCCCATCGCTATTTCGATAAGACCGCTTAAAAATGTAAGTAGTACCGCTTTTTGCCAAAGACCATGTGTTGTTTGAAAAGTGAGGAGAGCTGAAATCGCCGTCGGACCCACAGGAACATCTTTGCTGAAAAAAAATATTAAAAATTAGATATATATGTAAAAAATAAATAAATAAATAAAAAAATAAATGTAGAGAGACGCCAGAAAGAAAGCTGAGATCCTTACCTTGATCCTAAAAATATATAGATGAAACATCCCAAAAAGCAACCGTATAAACCGTACTGAAAGTAGAACAGAACAAAGGAAAATTCTATCAGAAAATGTCTTCAAATATATTTGATTTAAATGAAAAAAGTTTCTGAATTTTTCATTAATAATTTCTGAACTGCAGCTAAATCCTTGACTCCACATTCACATGAGTGGAATAACATTTTTGTGATAAATTGCCAAGAGAGTCATTAAATTTATGGCGTAGAAGTCAGCGTGAAGAACGAAATCGAAGCCGACGCTTTAAGAGCAACTTCAGCGAGCTGCTCCTCTTGCACAAAAATGATTTATATTTTAATTATAAACCGGAAAGATACAGTACTTCGGAAAGTCACAAAAAGCCTTGCGTTGGATATGCGATTTGCGATTTTCAATCTCTTATTTTCCTAGCGCGTTATGGATAGGGAACCGGCTCCAAGTTCGAACTGGTAGCCGTGCAATTTTCCAAGCTTTTAAATAAACAAATAACCTTAAGTGGAATATAGAATGGAACCCAGTAGCGTTTGGCTGCGGACTCATATTTAAATCGATTACATATACATATACATAAACGCGAATTGCGTAATGTAACTACAACGTAAGAAAAGTTAATTGCATTCACGACTCACGACTATTTAAGTACCATCCCTCGAAGAGCTTTACCTACTTTTTCCCTAAAACATTTCTTACGTCACGGCAAGGCTAGATAAAGGATTGATAAGAGGGGAGTGCTAAACTGGGCAAGAGTTTAGTTGAAAGGGAAAAATCGAGTAGGACAGCATAAATATTTGGCTGCCATCGGAATGTCACCGAGGAATACATTGACCAGCAATGTTAAAAAAAAAAAAAATAAATAAATAAAAATTATTCTAAATAATCAATGGCAGGCCTCTTACTCTCTAGTTCTCTAGTTTTTGTGTCCACTGAAACTCCTGGACTTTGAAAATGTTTAAATGCTGAAGCGAAACTTTTTTTTTTTTTAAAAGGCCATAAAAGCTTCTCCTAATCCCGGCAAAAACTTTCATAAGATATTCATTGACCGCACGTTTCAAAGTTTTTGTTTTTGTTTTCGTTTTTTTTTTTTTTTTTCACAATTGAATATTTCAAGGAAACCTGATTCAATATTTTATATAAATAACCACAAAATTATTTATTTACTTAATTATTATTATTATTATTTTTTGCGACTTACCTGTAAATCAAGTCCAGCTATGCCAGCATAAGCTAAACCTTGTGGAATCACTGTAAGCCCAACTGTAATACCAGCCATTAGATCTCCAATGAAATCATTGCGATTATATTTCGGTAGCCAGGTTAATATAGGTAAGCGTTTGTAAAGCGTTTTTTTTCGAAACACATTGGACGACAATTGTCGTAACCAGTCTTTCGTGAAAGTGCAACAGTTAAGCTTTTCATTCTCCTCGGTTTGTACGATATAATCACGCGAGGTATTGTAAATGGCATTCGGTGGTATATCCAAGGATACTTCAGAACCGGAACTATTGTTACGTTGTGACGATTGATCCGTACGCATTGTTTCAATTTATTGCTTTTACATAAATTAGAAAACTAAATGATTTTTTTTTTTTTTGTTTTTTTTTTTAAATAATACTGCTGCTCGATAATATTTCTTAGTTAAGGAATAAAGATATTTATATATTTTTTTTTTTTTATCAACAACTTTATTTAAATAAAAAATAATTCCTTTTATTTATTTATTATTATTATTATTATTTTTGTTTTTTTTTGTTTACTGCCGTATATACGTTTTCCGCTCAGTGAACTTGGCTTGAACGAGTCAATAACACGAATGAAATTTTTTGGTATTTGTATCGACAATTTTGAGTACGTTTAACGTTCACTGTCTAACGAACAAGTCAAGTTAAGTTATGAGTAAGAAAATAGTTTTACCCCGATGATGTAGCTCTCAGTGCAGAGCACGTTTCTTTTTCTTTATTTGTTGTTTTTTTTTTGTTTAATAATTGCGATCAGTTAACTAAGGGGAAATTGATTGAACGGTAATCAGTTAGATTGACTATTAATTGGTCTTGTTTCGCTTTATTGATTTTATACATTTTATAACGCAACAACAACAACAATAACAGCAATCGGCAGACAATAGAAAACAAAATAATACTAAAAAAAAAAAAAAAAAAAAGAGTAAATTTTACAATAATAGTATTATGAACTGAGAAAAGAACGTGTACTTATATTGTGTACATAAGTTATGCGGCTTTTATTGCCTCAGGCGATGTTTGAAAAAAAAAAAAATTTGATTGACAGTATTGCGCTTTGCTTGTAAGCGTCCGAAGTAACACAACACGTGTAGAGGAGCAATGTTTACATCAATCTAACGATCATCGTCACATTGTGCTTGAATTATTTTTTCGGCATTTTTTAATCATCTTACTAAGCTTGTAAACGAACTTATTGGCAACATTTCTAATCAATAATCCTCCTCTCTACACACATAGCTAATAAAGTGCAGTATGGTAAAATGTGAACTAAAAAGTTAATAGGAACATCGATAATAGATAGATTTCAATCTTTTAGTTTATATTATAAGGTTGTCTTACTAAGAAAAGTCGTAGTTAGTGGTCACTATTCCAAACAACGTTCTTTAAGAGACTTACCGAAGAATGATGCTAATCATAGCATCGAATTTTGAATCGATTTAACCATGTTCGTCTGTTTGTCTGTCCATCTGTCCGCCTGCCGAACTGTCTGCTATCTGTGGTAAACATTCGCACGTTCGCAAAAACAAGCACATCGCTTAAATACTTGGAAACGAATTGGTCGAGCAAAACAATGAACACTTTCGCTTGCTTTGCTTTTCGCCCGCAACTCGTCCTATAACAAATACAACAATGTCAATTTCCCATTTGATTTTGGAAAAAATTGAAAAAAAAATCATCTTAGCCCACCCAATGTTATAGAGCATCCCGCAAGAGTTGTCGAGCAGGAAGGAACCATCATTAACAAGTCTGTATTCGTGGGTTCAAATCTCAGTGCAGTAGAATTTACTTTGATCCTGGCTATGGTGAATGTTCAATTGATAAAAGCATAGCACAGATGCACTAGGCTGCGGTCAGCTCTCTATATCATTCCCTTTCTTCATTTCTTCTGCTTCTTTCCGGCCGTGACCGTGTTACACGAATAGGAGGGGAGCACTTGCCTTAACCAAGCAGTCCTTTTTATTGGGTATAAAAACTACGTCGACAACCGAATATAATTTTCTTCAGTATTTTAAGTTCTATTCAGTAGTTTTAAAAACTCAGTTAGATCCACTACTCAGTCTATATTAATGTAGTAATTAATCTTTTCTTGACTTGTAGACATGACCCGTTAAAACAGATGATTTATTAGTAAACATATATAATTTCGTTATCGTTACGTGAAAAATACCCTCTTCAAAACTCACGTGATAATATCCCGTGCACAAAAGAATAGAAATCAAGTTCTAAGAGAAACGCCTGCCCCTTAACGCGTCGACTCTCTCTCTGTATTCGTTTTGAAATATGTGGTATTTTATGAATAATTAAAAATTACAGGGAATTACATGAATTTCTGTTTTATATTTTACCTGTCAAGTATTCTGAGTATTAAATATTGAGAAAAAGTTTTATTTTTGGAAAATTTGTGTTTATACCGAAAGCTTATTATAATATATGTGGAAATTGGTTCATAAATAACTTTTTTTATTTCCCACAAATAAAGCATAAAAAAAAAATGTATATTTATTTATTAAAAATTATTCACATTTAAAGTGAAGTTATAAGTGATCGTGAAATTTAAGATTAAGAGAGAGAACAAAGTAAAACCACAAGAAAAATCCCAGCATTTTTTTAAAACAAGTTTTTTTTTTTTTTTTTTACATCTTAATGTTTTAAGAATTAATTGAAAGATTCGCTTAAATGCGACTTAAAACAATTCAAATCAAAGCATAATCGACGGGGATTTTTAAAGTAAAGCAATCATTTATAAAGAAATGAACGTCATCGGTTTATAATTATAGCTTAGCACACAGAGTACATGTAACAGAATTAAGTTAAAAGATTGAAATTCTTCAAGTTTGGACAATTCGAGGAGGTATAAACCTAATGGAATGATCGACTTGGAAGTTTAAGGCGGTACATCACCGTAAATCGATTGTTTTTTTTTTTTTTCTTTGTTTAATAGACACTTTTTGAACATCTTCAGGATGCGTGGGAAAAAATTCATTACCCGAAAAAAATTTGTGTTTTGATATTTCCGATTATGTCTTGGACATAGCGACTGACTTTGCCGTGTGCAATTTTAATGCCGGTATGACTAGATGATGGACATTGATACCTAATCAAGTAATTTTTGCATAGTAGCTGACGCTAACCGATTCAAGAAGGCTGAGCAGTCTTAGGAAGGTGCTTATGGATCTTAGAGAGGCAGGTTTTAGTAAAAAATTTTCAAGAAAAGAGGGGAAAAATATTTGAATTGGGAAAGGCGGTTTAATGCTTCTGCATTTGTAGACTAATAGAAGAAATTAGTAAAGCGTTCATCTGGGAACGCAGCTTTTGAAATCTTCAAGCAGCATAATCTATACACATTTCATTTTTCCTACCCGAATTTTTTAGTGTATCTTCAAAAGAACTTTCTGCATTGAAAGACATATAGAATTTGTTGCGAAAACTTAATTTTATTAATAAAAGGTCATCTTTTCTTTGCCCGAAAATTGCACTTTTTCACTCAAACATTCGCCAATTACACAAGATATAAGAATATGGATTTTTTAATTGAAACTTAGACCAGTTATACTGCTTGCCGTAAAGCCCCTTGCGCTGAGGATATCTCTAAAGAATGGCTGCATTGCTGCTATTATTTAATAGTTTTTCAAAAAAAGATTTTTTCTTCTAATACTTGAGGATATAGTTAACAACCTCTTCAACTGTTATTATTTTCTTTTAACAAAAAAAAAAAAAGACTGCTATTGCAGTCGTCCACGTTTTTAAGAATATTATACGCTTGACATCACGGAGATAATGTATTTCGTGGGTAACATTCCAAACCCTCTTCACTGTGTGAGAGGTTAAGCTGATTATCATCATTTATAAAATGTTCATATTTATTAGAGAATGCTATTTGTTTTAATAATTATTATATAACGTCAAGACAATTAATAATTCATTAATATCGGTGAATTGTTTATTCACTTTCACTTCGGATTAATCCCATTTGTTGTGTTCGAATTCATTTTTTTTTTTAATTAAAGGAAAATATGTCGCGAAAATTGAAAGTTAAACTAACTAAATAATTTTCTATAAATTTTTTTTAAACAATAGTATTTGAATACGTAAATATAAAAATTGAAGCTTTATTTGCAATGAAATTGTAGAGTGAAACACGTGAAAGAATACTTTTTCGCAAAAGAAGTCATTTGTTGATCGTCTAGTATTTAAATTTATTTTTCTACGAATTAATTAGATTTATGTTTATTGTATGAAACCAAAAAAAAAAAAAAAAAAAAAAAATATTAATAAAAAAAACTCCTAATAAAAATTTTATTATGATTTTTATAAAGAATTTTTAAAAATTTTATATATTATAATATAATCTTTTTTTTTAATATTTTTTTTTTAAAAAAAAAAAAAAAGTGAAAGGCATATTATTGAAGTGATTATCAATACGTCTAATGCAAAATGAAATACAAAATTTAATTCCTACAACAACGCTGTAGGAGGCCAGCCATGGGCAAACGTCGGCCCGTTACGTTTTAAAATTTCAAATAATTTGATTTTGCTCGCACCTACCAATCCTGCAAATAGATTATGTCTGCCTTCATTATCCCCTCTGCTGCGCAGCTATCAAATATAAAATGCGTTTAAGTGCTTTTTTTGCCGCATTTTTTATATAATTTTTAATAATAGTTGGAGCTTGTTCTGGTCCCTGATGTGGTATGAAAATTAAATCTGGCCCGTTAATGAAGAAAGTTGCCCACCCAAAATAAAATCACAGATCAAACAATCATTACACCGATGTACTTTAGATCCATCACGTCATGATTAATTGTTTAAAGTCAGATTTTATTGGCATAAAAGTGGTTAAATTGTAATGATTCCTACGATTCTCAATACGATTGCAAATTAAGTATTATGTAGCAGAAGTGCATTATACCGAAACGATTTATAGGAGGCACTGATTCAATCAATTCGAAAGTCCATTAGAAACTTTTCAACCTGATCAGTCGCATTTAATGGAAAAGAATAATAAGATGCTCATCGTTATCGGTTCGACATCTAACTCGAACAAATATACGATTGATCCTAGCTATACGGCTTTTGTAATATTTGTTTTAAAAACAAAATGAATTTATTTAATATTTAACATTTACTCAGTTAACTGTGTCGACCTCTTTAACAGGATATCATGTTGTAACGAAAGGATGGACAATACGGGAAAAATTATTCTCTAAAGTAAATTATTATGACAAAAAATCTTATGAGGAAATCCAAAAACGGCCAGTTAAACGGATCATGACGTGTGTTACTTGTCAAGTACAGTTAACTGGTTAACTGTATACGCATAACTATATTTATAGGCATTATCCCAAATTCTTGATCTTTTGAGTTAAGTGTATGTACACAAAGCAGTGTAATGCGATCTAGTTTCAACTGACGCCTTTCTACAATTAAGTCTCATCTTAAGGATATATACAATATAAAAGAATCAAATAGTTGCG